GATTTCCATAGCTTACACAGCTGTCCCTGTGTTTGTGTCCACTTCTGGTGGTGTCATCGAATGATGCCCAGTCCGAACACCTGCTGCAAAACAGAATGGATGTGTTAGTCAATGCAGGGCTCCTACACATTCTCATCTCACTTTTAAAATAAGTTTTCCCGGTAAATTTTCCTTAAATTTTTTATCAGTTTTCATTATTAAGGCTGAGCAATATGGTAGTTAACTAGGCACTGACAGAAGCCATTCTGCTGCATGTTAAGTTTTGTTGCTTTTGATATTCAAGTAGAATTTGCTGATATAATTTTTACCTAAGTAAGGAATCCTGAATGCATATGTTTACTTGAAAGTGAGTCTTTTCATATTGTTACTTTTACTTAGGTGAAGGAACCAATGCAACTAACGTTAGGTAAAAATCACAGGAACTTGATGGAGAACAACTATTTTCACAAATGTTTCATCAGAATCCACAAGCTGCAAGACCTGGAGATAATCAATGCGTTTACAAATGTTGTCAAAGTTTTGCACAGTCGTTTAAGACCTTACTATATTGTATGTATACTATGAGCCTGTGCAACACGCACACGTCCCATGCAGGAAAATTAACACTAATTTGACCTCCTTTAAGCAGGGACAAAACATTGCTCAGAGTTTTGTAAGTCAGGCACGATATCCTCTTGGCACGTGTTTCCAAGCGAAGACCCTTGCTAAATTAGCTAACACCGCTAGGTTTACTGACACAACAACTGTGGTTAAACTGCTAGCCATAGCCACTGTGCCTTACCGTTACTGCCTCGTTTGCCTCATTGAAACTTCAGAACGGGATGAATTATTGTCTGATAAATGTCCACCATGTCTACCTCCCGGAGAATGAATGTACTTTTCATTTAAGACTCGACGTTTCGTGGTTTGACCCTCTCAACCTGCAGCGCATTTTAGCATCATGTACACAAGCCATTGCACATTGTGAGTCGCGTGTGGAGTGCGTCACTCTTGCGCCGACCAATCAGATGTGCAGATTTGGGACCAAATGAGCGTTTCTCTTTGTAGCAGTCTATACGTTTCAGAAGGAGCAACGATGGCAGCATTTAACTATGTTCAAAAACATTTCAGCCCTACCAGTAACCAACACTGTGATGCATTCTCAGTTTGACTATGCAGCTGTAAAAACATAATGTAGAAGCAGAGAATTGTTGTATAACTGTCATGTCATGGTCTTTGATGTTGAACTGGCGAATTAGGCCTAACTGAGCAATGGAGGAAAGTGTGAAGACCAATTTCTCATGACATGGCTTATGATTATCATTTTGAAATGTCTGCAGAACCACACAGCACTAATAACCAGGATATGTTGGGATACCTGTCATTGAAATCAATGTCAAATGTCCACTTCAGGTGTCTCAACACTGCAGTGGTATGAAACTTCATATAGGGTAGACGGGAATGGTTGTAACATGGGGAGAGTTGTAACAACATCAATTCTACCAATTAGAGATTATTTCAGTATTTACTTCTGCCCCAATAAGGCATGGTGGTTGTCAAGGCTGGAAACAGTACACTACATTCAGAATATATAGAGAAAAGGCTGATTTTGGATTAAGAAAATACATTTTTTGACCAACACTATATTTTGTTTAGTATCTACACTATAGCATTGGCGACCTGTCCAGGGTGTACCCCGCCTTTCGCCTGATGTCAACTGGGATTGGCTGCAGACCCCCGCGACCCTGTACGCAGGATAGGCGGTTGACAATGGATGTATGGATTGATGGATGGATCCACACTATAGCAGATAAAATTGTAGTTTCTTCGGCAACATGTGATGCATTTTCCCTTGCTAATTTAAAACCACTATTCTGATACAGCTAGCTAAAAAATGACTTACAGGGGTGGGCTGGGTTGTAACACTTGTAAAAAGTATTATAACCATCCCCTGTAACGACTTTCTCTATTTTAAAGAGGTGGTATTATGCTTTGTGGCTTTTCCCCTCTCCTTTTATTGAGTTATATATCTTTTTTGTCCATGTAACAGGTTTGCAAAGTGAAAAAGTCCAGCCCAAAGGGAGTTCCCATCTCCTACAGACAGCACTGCTCTGAATGTCTTGAAAACAGCTAGTTTGTAGTCCAGCCCTTCACTTCCTTTACTTGTGACGTCACAATGAAAACGCGTCATAAAGTTTGTCAAGCGGGTAGCGGGGTCAGGCACGCCCTCAAACCAAGCTAGTCTGAGCGGAGGCCCTTTGGCTCGACTCACCTTTGTTTGGGTTTCCATTGTAGAAATGTTGTACCTGTACCTGCTTCAAGGTACTTTTTTTCGTATCACCTCACCTCCATCAAGGTTCCAAGCGAGCTGAGGTATACTAAAATATAACGTGAAAACACGACAGACTGCAGACTGGTCAGAGAGAATATTCAATATTCACTGCATCATCATTGCGCTCACCAGACAGAGGCCAGCAACAGAAATTTTTATATGTTATAGTTTTCGTATGTAATTTCATCACTAAATACACTTCTGAGAAGGTTGAGGTGAGAAATCAACTGTAAAACTGTAGCACAAAAATGTGCTTGAATAGGTTGGCCAGCCGCCCGCTCACAGAGCCCTCTGCTCCCGCCGTCACACAGACCGCTGCAGCAACAACGGCAGAGCAAAACACAGCTGGAAGGTTTTCATACCACTTATCTGTCTTTACATGCTGAGGAATGTTGAAACTTAAAAAAGAGAAAGCTGTGTGGATCGCTGGTGTGTGTGTCGCATTGAACATTACGTCGTGTGTGGCGTCGCTATGACGACAAGCTACATATTATCTCTGGGTACTATCTGCAACGGTAAACGGAGCAGGGCCGAGTAGAGTCGAGTCTATCGATTTGCGCTATTGTAGCATTTTTCGGCAAGGCAGCATAGATCATCAGAACACCGGCAACAGTTCAACGTTTGGTCCTAAAAGACGATGCATCTCCGACTCTGTTTGGACTGGAAATTCACAATCACAACCTGTAAGTATGCTTTATTGGTTGTGAATTATATTTGAAATAAACACGGCAGTGTAACTTCACAGACTGTTCAAGTGCTGAGTTGTTGTAAACGTTGGCTAACACAGCAAAATTTATAACTATAATGCTACATGTTATACCTGATGTGAAAGCTACTGAGCAAACGTTCAAATTGTTTGGCCAATTTTTATGTAAAATTGAGTTAAAATATGGTGAATTTGGAGTGGTTTATGGTAAGACGTGGAACAATGATGTTGTGTGGTTGTGGACATGAGTAACTGTCTGAAGCGGCTTTGATTTGGATCACACTACCTTGTTTCTTAAGACCCGCCCTTCTCTGCTTCTGATTGGCTAGTAGTCCTTACCTGGGAACTGCGCATGTGCAACTCTCAACAAAGATGCTGTACAAGTAAGATTCATCACTCTGTAGCTCAAGAGCGGAGCGTACAACACATAGGGTGAAAAGAGGAGCTGCAGCAATGTGCAGTGTGAGGAAAATATGGTGTTTTTTGAAAATTAAACCATGTAAACCTGTTCTGGTACAACCCCTAATTAAGATTTTGAACCTGAAAATGAGCATAATGCCACCTCTTTAATATTTTTACAGATTGCTATGCAGTCTTTGGGCACACCAAGCCTGCACTCCAGGGTTGTCAGCATTCATTTGTCAGCACTGTGACCAAGGCTTCCCATTCACATGTTGGCATGTGTATCGGCATCGGACCCCCAATTTTTTCCCCACTCAGTCGCCATTGGTGGAGAGGGCAGAAAAGAGTACGGTGCACCAAAGAGTAAATGCTTACCAGTGAGTACCGGCCTACTTCAAGCACTGACTGTGACTCTGATTAAGACACACACACATACACACACATATGTTTATTTTGTCAGACTTAAAGATGTACAAAGATTTTCTTTAATTAGGTACATTATAGTAAGCTTGTTATAGTAGACAAATGTACACACACACACACACACACACACACACACGCACACACAATTCAATCAGACAGTGTGTTACAGAGAGAGAGAGAGAGAGAGATAAACATTGCTTATTTCACTCTACCTGTTTTTGAAGTGTATCATATAATGTGGCATCCATTTTTGCTTCTTTTGTCTTATTGTTACAACTTACCCCACTTAGGTTATAACAAAGGAATACCATGTATTTGACATCAAGTCATGAGGTCTGTGATATTCTTGTAAATGATTAAATTGGTGCTATGTGTAGTAAACAAATACGTGCTTTGTATAAAAGTTTGAGAAAAAAGTTCAGCGAGTTATAGTTGCTGAAGCAAAAGGTGTTACAGCCATACCCGGTCTCCCTATTCTGTAAAAGTCATCAACTCATTCTATAGTGATTGGAAACTGTGTGATCTCAAATTACGTGGAAAAACAGAAAAGTACAGCAAAAGACAAACACAATGACAGTGGGTGTAAAATTGATGTCTTTTGTCAGTGCTTTATTGCTGGCATTTCTTTGAGAAAATGCTGTCCGTGTCTCTGTTTGCAGCCTGGAACTGACATGGAGCGACACTGGCGTACTGTGCACACAGCCCAGAGCAAATATGTAAGCTGCAGCAATCAGTCCCTGTCCCTCAACTATGTCCCCCCATTGGCAAATATCCTCTTTGCTGAAGTGTCATTGAGCAAGTAACTAAACCTGGCAGTGGGGCACTTCTCTGTAGCTGACCGCTCACTGTGACCCCAGTCGAGAGGGACAGCTACTTACACAATACAGGTGTTTAAACAGGGATCTGTGATATTTCATTCCAAAAAAATTCCTGCTAGTTTAGGGTACAGTCTCCACAGTCACAGACAGTGGAGACGTTTCAAGATGTCTCACATGAAATCACTTATTTAAACTAGAGGCCGCTCATCCCATGCTAGACTTTGTCAGCTTACATTTGTTTTGGCAGCAATCCTAAAACAGAGCATGAACCACATGTGACGCAGGAGTCAAGAGGAATGGTCATGGTGTTTAACTTGGCTCTCTGTTCCTGTTTGAAGTACAAGTTATATTCAGCCCAGGCTGCATGAGCTCTGCCTCTCCTCCTTACTCTTACCTGCTCAACTACTCTGATACCTCTTGCGTGCACATCTCTCACAGAAATGAATCACCTGGGCATCACTGTGGTCCTGGTACTACTGGTGGGGGTATGGGCCCAGATCAATGTGCTACGACCTCTGTGCGACTCCCCTGAAGCAGAGGAGGCTGCTCTGGTGGCTCAGGATTATCTCAATGCCCAGCACACTCATGGCTACAAGTACGCTCTGAATAAGATCGATGACATCAAAATCTATCCTGAGGTAAGTCAGCAGTGTACAGTTTGTGTAGATACTGGCAAATAAATTTTTTCTTCTCCTATTTTTTCCTCTTGGCCACTATATAAAAGGATAGCAGGATAGGAAATCTGAAATTTGAAAGATTAAACGTGGAACTATGATATGAATGTGTAACTTTGTTTGTGTGAACGTGATGTAGACACACAACACTGCCGAGCTTAAAAATGTAAAATGCTGAATGCCAGAAAGTCAGATACATGTAAAGTAGTATATTTTGATGAGGATTCTTTACATCCCTAAATCATTGCACATTTTAAATTGTTAATTTTTTTTGGTGCATCTCTATGCAAACATTTGCACAAACATATAATAAATAAATAAATAAATGAACATTTCAACTACTCCATTTTTCAGTGTTTTTTTAAATTGCACATGCATGTTCATCAAGGCAAATATGACACCAGAACATTTCACTTTAGGGGCTTCTGTCTATGTGGTGATCATACAATACATAATAAACTCAAATAACTGTCTGATAAACTACATTTAAAAAATAAGTAATAATAATTATTATGTGTTTTACCTCTCTTAGCTGGATGGAGACACATATGTCCTAGAAGTTGACCTGCTAGAGACAGACTGTCACGTGTTGGACCCCACACCACTTGCCAACTGCACAGTCAGACCCAAAATTTTGACGGTGAGACTGCATACCATTAATACACAAAAACACTCATACTTGAGCTACAGAAATTCAACCGAATGTAAAGATGCTGATAATTCTAGGATATAAAATAATGAGAATAGAAAATGTCTAAATTGACTGTTTCGCTATTTGATACCTGATACCTTGTCTCCAATCAGGCAGTAGAAGGAGACTGTGATGTTGTGCTGAAGAAGGTTGGTGGAGTTCTGACTGTCACAGCATTCAAGTGCAAAACAGAGGGTAAAGCTTTTGAATCACACACCATATAAACACATACATGCATTCAGAACATGCCACACAAGTGTCACCCTGTACACACAAAACTGCATGTGACTTTCTTTGATGACATATAGAATCAACGGAGGACATGTGCGTGGGCTGTCAGACCCTACTTCCCCTAAATGACACCACAGGACTGGCCTTTGTCCATGCCTCTCTGGCAACCTTCAACAACAAAGCTGCGAACGTAACATACACTGTTCTGGAGGTTGGAAGGATGTCATCACAGGTAGGCCCAAGAATAATCTGTTCAGTTCCATTTTTTCCATTATAACTTGTGTCTGTCAGTACATAAATACTTCTCACGTCCTTGTTTCAGATTGTGTCTGGTGGGCCAATCTATTTCGCAGAATATATTGTAGTTGAGGCTAATTGCACTGATGATGCCTGTGTGCCGTTGAATGATGTCATGGCTGTAAGTACACAAAGCATGAGTTTAATTTTCGTTTTTTTCGTTTTTGTGAGCTAATCAAAGAAGATATGGAAATGATAACTCTTATCACTAACAGTTAAACATTAACAACATTGGGGGGGAAATCGTGTTTTTATTTTCTCCACCAGGTACGTGGTATTTGTTCTGCCAGTGGTTTGAACGCTGATCACACAGTGGACTGCAAGATGTTTTCCACTCTGGTAAAATACTGTATTTAATTTTAACTTAAAATCATTTTTGATGGCTAAAAATAAGTCAGGAACTTTGCTAAACTACATTCTATATGGAAAGTTTTTCCTAAGCCTCTGTTGGTGCAAACACTTTTTCAGATGCCTGTTGTAGATGCCAACAGCACTGCAGCTGCTTCCTTGCCACCAGTGGTCCACGTACATGCAGGCAGCCTGTCACGCAAGCACGGTCTGAGACACCACAAACTGACTGCTCTTCATAACCCTCAGCTCAGCGGCCATCTGTCTGCAGAATCAGCAGAGTCAGATGAAGTTGTACCTGTAGTTCCTGCAGTTGTTGATACTACTGCAGCTGCTGTGGCTCCTGCTGATCCTACACCAGCTGCTGATCCTGTGCCAGTTGCTGATCCTGCTCTAGTTGCTGAGGCATCAGCCTCAGCAAGTGTTGAGGTCCCTGTTGTTGTGGTGAAGAGAGATGTACCCTCTAAAGTGGTTGGCACCTCTGTGCCTCAAACAGGCCCCATTTCCAGTGTGCCAAGGTGCCCAGGAAGGGTCAGATTCTTCTAAGTGTTCAAGTCTCACAAACTTCCTGTGTTATATTATCTCAACAACACTGGTACTAAAATAATTACCAACTAATTCCTACATGAACATGTCCTGTGATCAGTAGACGTAACATCAATACACTTCCTACAAACCAGGAATAATCCATCATTTGAAATTGTCAAATCACACAAGAGCATTATGCACTGCAAAACAAGTCTTCTCTCTGTAAAATGGATGATTTGCATTTGATGTTGCTGAATAAATATCTCAAGTCAATGTTTTTTGTAGTCTTATTTTTTTCATCATCATGCATAGTGATAGAATGATTAATTAGGCCAACATCTGGCATTTTGAGATGATTGGCACCGGTCGACTCCTGCACTCAAGAGACCAATCAAAAATGTCTGCAGACACATCTGTTAGCAACTTGTGAGTTTTGGGAAGGTGGTGAAGTTAGTTCTGAGCCCAAAATTTCCTCAGTCACCATCATATTTTCTAAATGTAAACACATTTCTCCCATCCTCAATGATAGCAGATCCAATCAATTATTACTGGATATATACCATTTATTTTTTTTAATATACAGGTTATACTGTAGAGAATATTGCAGTGTAATGACATCACTTCTGACAAACTGTATCCCACTCTCCCTTAAACACATGTTCTGAAGTCTACAACTTATCACAATGTATTCTTCCATTTCATTAATAAAAATTCCATCTCACATTACTGGCTAAGAAACTACGCATTAGATTTTACTCCACATGGAATACATGTCTTGTTTGAGATGAGCATTATATTGTATATTGGCATCGGCCATTGAAAAACCTTCACACTATTTTAGGAGATTTGTAGCAGTCAGTGAATGATAGTGTTACTCTTAGGCTTTTTACAGGTTTGATGACACACTGATAATCTATAGGACTTTCAATCAACACACTGGTACCAAAATGCATTTAATCATTTCAAGATCTTTAAGGGGGATTGCAAAATTAGGTGCCGTTTGCCAGTTGTGTTGACAAATGCCAGGGACATTCCTGCAAACCCATTGACATTACTAAGAAAAAAAAAAAATATAAAAATCCAGTGCTTTTCTAAATGTGTTCAAGAGGGAAGAGCCCTTTCAGAGTGTGTAATATTTTACCAAATGTCATAAAAACATACAGAATCTTCATATAAAATAAAAAAGGCACAAACAAGATTAGGATTGGAACTGAGGCCAGTGTTGATGAATGGGTAAATTCTATTAAGTGTATTTACGTGAATGGGTCAATGTTCAGGAAGTACCAGTTCATGGTAAGGCAAAATAGAGCAAGACAAATAGGTTCAACAAGGGCAATGCACCTTTTGATTCTAAACAGCAGATATAATGCCAACAAGTACCATGTGCTGCAACTAAACTAGTCTGTTGTCCTTGACTGCCCACGCCACAAGAGATAAGATGACTTCTATGTCATGCTGCTCTTACACCAAATTTTGTTCACCCACTCAGGGTGCAACCCTGAGACACGTAAAAGAAATTCTAAGCCTATTGAATAAATAAAAAAGTTAGACAAGCTTAAGTCTGTTCCAATTGTTTATTCATGTTGAAGGCAACTCATTTCTGCTTTCCACCTTCTCTCTGGAGAGGTTGGTTGGGTCCTGCAAGAGACACATTAGCCTAAGACTGGGTAAAGTAGTAAAAAAAAAATTATATACATTACACACCCACCATTTGCTTGGTGGTCAGCTGCAGAGTTCCATTGTTGAAACATATTTCCAGGACCATGAGGCAGAATCCTTTGGTTGGAGTCTAGAGGAGTCTTTGGTTTCCAGAAGTTTTGGAATGACTCTGGGAATTTAGGCCTTAAATGTGCCACACTAGGAGAGGGGTCCTGGGACAAAGGGACAAATTGAGGGCTATCTGGAGTAGAGTAAAACAATGGAAAACTCTGCGATTTGTCACCAGGCTTGTAGTTGATATGGTCAGCTAAGGGATTGGACATTCCTTTCCCCAGCCATTTAGGGTGTTGAGAGTTTTCTTGTGAGGCCTTTATATGCGGATATTGGTGTTTATTACTTTGAGGCCTTGCAGAATTTTGTGCCAGGATGTTTGCATCATGAACCCAGGAAGGCAGCGGAGAGTCACTGAAACTGTTTGGCTCCCTACCTGGTGGGCTATGCCTTAGCAGCACATAACTCTTCGGTTCAGAATGGGAGCGCACAGTCTGTTCATTTTTGGTAGATTTCTGAGAGTCACTCACAAATGACTGTGGCGAGTTGTTAGGAACCACCGACTTGTTATAAGTAGGTGCTTGAGCATCTTGAAGCATGTAGTAAGGGACCAGAAGATTTTCAGGTTCACCTTGGACCTCAGGACGTGCTGGTCCTTTAGAGTCACTGGATTTTTCGTTAGATGGCTGTGGTTCTTTGGCTGGAGGTTTATTTTGATCCTGTTGTAAATCTTGGCCGTTAAAAGACATGAAATTAAACCCTGAGGGATTCTTCATGTCCCCAGCTAATAGTTGTTTGTTTTGCTGCTTTGGGGGCTGTATGTCATATTGCCCCACTGGATTTACTGGTTCATTACCAGGAGCCCAAGCATTAGATGGCACATAGTGAGCTGGCGATTGGCTTTGTGGTAAATTTTGCAGTGCCTCGTTTTGTAGTAGATATGGCCAGTTATGATGCGAGTCAGCAGCTTGTGTTGTCGTTGCTTCAGTTGGTTTTTGAGGGGGAAGAGAACCCAGACCATTGTTAAACCCAAAGTTTCCCACTGAATGGGGGGATGGCAGTCCTGAATAAACTGGCAGTGCATCTTTACTGCCATGTCCAGCAGGAATAACAGGATAGAGATATTGATGAAAAGCAATTTGTGGACAGCAGTTAGAATATCCAGAAGGGCAAGATTGTGGGCACACACGTGGGAAATCTGGAGGGACTATACCACCATTAGTAGGTTGTGGAGTGTAAGATTCAGTGGGGTATTGAACTTTGGCTGGAGTGGTGACCTGTCGCATTTGCTGCATTGTGGTGGCAGGGGGTAATGTTACAGGCTGGGGCTGCTGTGGGTAGTAATAGTAGTAATAGTATGGGTTAAAAGAGGGATGCACCTGGCCCTCCAGAGGTTTGATAACTGGAGGCCGCTTAATTTGGACTTGATTTTCAGTGGGAGCTTTACCACAATTTGTTCCAGCACCTGGAATCTTTGATTGTAGAGGGTACAAAGGGCTAGGTACTTGTGGCACAGTGACAGTTGCTGGAGGCTGTGAAACAGTGGGACGATTTTCAGGCTGTAGCTGAGGGTAAAAGGGGTAGGGGTAGAAAGGCTGTTGCATTTGGCCTTGAGGGGCTTGGATTGGTGGAGGCTTTGGAACAGCGGATGGCTTTTTAGCTGGTTGGTTTCCAGGTTCTGGATGAGGGTAAAAGGGGTAGGGGTAGAATGGCTGTTGCATTTGGCCTTGAGGGGCTTGGATTGGTGGAGGCTTTGGAACAGCGGATGGCTTTTTAGCTGGTTGGTTTCCAGGTTCTGGATGAGGGTAAAAGGGGTAGGGGTAGAATGGCTGTTGCATTTGGCCTTGAGGGGCTTGGATTGGTGGAGGCTTTGGAACAGCGGATGGCTTTTTAGCTGGTTGGTTTCCAGGTTCTGGATGAGGGTAAAAGGGGTAGAATGGCTGTTGTACTTGGCCCTGCGTTGGTGGAGGCTTTGGAATAGTGGGAGGATTTTCAGGCTGCAGCTGAGGGTAAAACGGGTAGGGATAGTGTACTTGGCCCTGCGTTGGTGGAGGCTTTGGAATAGTGGGAGGATTTTCAGGCTGCAGCTGAGGGTAAAACGGGTAGGGATAGTGTACTTGGCCCTGAGGTGCTACAGGCTTTGGAGGTGGTTTGATATCCTCTGGCCCCAGACTGGGCTTCTTTGTAGTTACCACTGGGTCCTGGAGAGAAACTGGTATTGGGGGATTTTGTGCAGGAGTTTTTGGCATAGATTCAGGGGCACTGCTTGTGGGTTCAGATTCAGCTGGTGATGCTGATGGACAGGATATTTTAGTTTCTCCCTCTCCAGCCAGTTTAAGGGTGTACATTCCATCCTGCAACACAAAATGTCAGGTTACACAAAAATAAAAAATAAAAAGTTAATTCATAAAAATAAATGTAGAAAGGCACCTGTCTCTCCATGCAGGGTGCATAGCGAACAGAAATGACCACACCTTCAGGATGTACAACTACACTGAATCCACATCTGGGTGAAGCCTTCATCAGTGGCTCCCAGGTACCGGTCACTGTGAAGTAACACATTACTGCCAAGCACACTTTCAAAAGTACAACTGATATCTAGTCTCACAGGGCAAAAATTCCCCACTCATTAACATGTCTTCCTTTTCCTCAAAGAGAAATTACATACCAGAATGCAAGTTATTCTTTAAAATAGCTTAAAAAAAATTGTCACTGTATAATTTAGACTCAATAGATTTAATTCAATTTTATTTATATAGCGCCAAATCACAACAACAGTTATCTCACAGCGCTTTTCATAAAAGAGCAGGTCTAGACCGTACTCCGATGATATTTACAGAAGCCCAACAGTTCCCACCAAGAGCAAGCACTAGGCGACAGAGGCAAGGAAAAACTTCCTTTTAGGTGTCAGCCAAACTCTGCTATAGGTTGCTGCTTTCAATAGCCACTCTTTAAAGTGTTACCCATTCAACCTCTGTATTGCAAGTGCTACTCAACACTATTAGATCACTGGCTATTCTATGCATTTACAGGCATTATGGAATCAGAAGCAACATTCCAACAAAGACTGAACAGAAAAAGCTGAACAGCTTCCATTGTGCAATTGTAGTTACATGTCACTGTGATAGCAACTTATTACATAATACAAATAAACTTGATTGACAGTACATTAGTGTCATAAGGACTCAGACTAAGTTGAATGCCAGGACAACTTAATGGGGGGGGCGGGGGTGACTTACAATTTACTTTAATTTCAGCAACAGAGACTATCCATTCTGTTTTCACCACCATGCCCTCAGCATAGCAGGCGACTGTTGGCGGGTTAGACTGCTTCATCAAAGGGCATGACATCCTCACTGGTACTCCCCGCCAATGCAATGGGAGAACATAGCTGTCCTCCTGAAACCAGCAAGAAGATTTAGTATGCAAATATGCATGGTTCAAGTGTGTAGTGTTTTCAGAACAAAGTATCCCACCTCAAGAGCAACAAAGCAGCCATCATAAGGTGCAACTAAGACCAGCTCTCTCAGAGTTGACCTGATTGTGTATCCACAGCTTGGGGGCAATTTGGACAGAGGCAGAGGAGACAGGTGACTTCCTGAGTGATAAATTCAAAAATTTAGAATTAATAAAAAGAATTAGATGAACCTGCTCTGCACAAACTTTAAGTGTTAGTGACAGATGTAAATTCATGACTCCAAGACTGAAAATGTACCCCTTTCCACAAAAAACAGAGATCCAGTGGTAGAAGCAACATCTTGGACTTGAAGCTTCATGAAGTCTCCTGTACATTCAACCTTTGGTTCCATTTTGAGGAGTTGTTCCAAGGCAGAATTGACTGGCTTCAGCCTTGAAAAGCCATCAACCCATCCTATAGGTTGGTTAAAAATAACATTCAGTTCAAGTAGGTAAACTGCAATTACTTAAGTGGTGGTGCACACAGATTCAATTACAAGGCTAAAAAATAAATAAAAAGTCAGACAGGTGTAAAATAACAGTTAATAGTGTTACATCATGATTTACCATTTTCTAGTGTATTTGGTGAGGGACTATAATAAGGATCCCAACTTTACATACCCATATCTGCTTGGTAATCTGCATCAACACCCAGTAAGTTCTTTGTGGCCCCAGGTCCTTGCAGAGAATTATCCCCAATTACGAGTCTTCCATGGCGCAAATCACTTGTTTCAACTTTACCTTGGCTAAGTATCAAGTTTCCACTTAATGTATCCAATGCCTTAAGCTTTGACAGTGTTGCGCAGTGGCAAAATGAACTAGCAAACAAAACAAGACCTAAACATAATAAAATTTTACTCCCCCCACAAGCCATTGGAACAAAGAAAAAACATACACAGGTAAATTGCCTTAGCAGCAGCTGCTCCACTCCCACAGTTTAAATGAGCATGTGAGGTCTGGTCCTAATTAGGACTAATCAAAACATCTGATCACAGCAGATGTTGCCAATCTGCAATTAAGGTGTGGCATCAACACTAGCATACTTACATGTAGCCTTTGGCAGTGGTATTCAAATCCTGTTGGAGAAATGTGACAGACATTTTATGGTATGGTAATTCTTGTTAGGCCAATCTAATGCTTATTTTTCTAATTAGCATATTTGTTTCCTGGCCACATGATTTGAATCTGTTTAGCCTTCTAGAGAATAGACAACTGATAGAAATGCCTTCAAAATCAAAACACATCTAGCAATAATTTGTTAAAGACAACAATGTATGTGCTTACTATGTAATGGTGTCTGTGGCGGTCTTTTCAGGCCTGACCAAGTGCCATACTGTGGACAGTATTTTTGTGCGATAAATGCCAGAGGCCAGTTGGCATAAACCCATATCTGCAGCAACACATTTTTCACACCTACTTAACTTGATGTCTAAATTTTAGTGGGCATCCCACATTTCCGAAGATAATAAGTATGAGTCTGATTTTGGGTGCATTCTAGATGTTATGCACATGATTGTAGACACATTTTCCCCATTGTGCAACAAGAAACAATTATTGGGTTTGAATTTTTCACTCATTGTAAACATTAGCATCTAAGATTTGGGGCAAGCAGATACAGAATATGTATCGAAGTGAGAGACAGAATAACCTTAAAGCTACATAGGGGAAATAAAAGGTAGAACCTTTTAATCCATTAATGAAAGCCAATAGTTTGTGCCTTTGGTCAAATCAACATCTTCTTTCCTTTGGTGTGAAGGTTAGTAAATTTTATTAAAGGTTTCTTTACATTTATTCTGAACCCAAGACAAGTTTGAACTGAATGCCTGAATTAAAACTAAATAGTTTAAAACTTGAATGTAGTCCACATACAAGTTTGTAATTGCACAGTAACAGACGAGACATGTTTGCTTTCCCTCTGGTTGGAATAACTTTTATTTGATCTGTCTGTAAACAAGACGTCTCATCAATTCATGGCATTTGAAATAGATTTTGTGGCAGAAGGAATTTCCAACTCGGAAAAAAAGACAAACTTATGCAAACTTATTTTTCTGTCGTTTAATTCTGTACATATTCCACAAAGTCTGGAGATTACTGATGCCAAAATATCCCTTAGGAAAGTGCCATTAAAAGTTACTTCTTGCTGGGGGCAGCAGTTAAAAATCCAACTCATAGTAGCAACAGATCAGATCGATTTTATGGCACAGAATACACAGTTATTCTCAGAAAATTTTCACAAGACAACTTACAAATGTTCTTATTCCAACCAACACCATTTTCAATATGTTTAGTGTACACAGCATCACTTTTTTTTCCTTTTAAATATACTTCTAAGTACCGTACTATGACAACTTGTGAATACACCTTTGATGACTAAAGCACAAGGCAAATAATTCCAAGGTGTTGGAGGCCAACAGCCTGGGTTTACAGTCAAAATGCATTCATACTGTAGTACAATGACATTGCCGTTTCATTGGTTAATGGACATGAAGTTAGCAACAAATCAATTAGTGATAAAAAGTTTAAGTAGTGTTGAAATCTAAAGAAGCGGTTAATGTTTTACAGACATCTGAAGTTGTCTTAATGATTTACAGTCAACAGGTGATGCCAACAGTCATCCATCAGAATAAGCTGAAGTAATTCTGATAATTCTCTTATATTGACAACTGGTCAAAAGGGAAAGGGAGGGGGAAATAACTTCATATAAAATGAGTGTAGTGATTTTCAGAAAAACTGACAAATAGCAGAAGCTGATTGACAATATCTTCAGACCTCAGCAATGCTGACCTTACTCTACACTCAAACAGCCCAACACACATCATTAACTTTTAAGACCACATTCAGGTACAACAGCAAAAGCATGTGATGGAGGGCAAAATGTTGTGCTCGAAGGTGGCAAAATGGTAAACACATCTGTCATTTATTAAATTGAGGCCTGAAGATGGAGGCTGATGAGAAGATGGTTTTGGCTGGAATATTACACTGGGACAGAGGGGATAGGGCTGGGATCTGTATGCTAAGGAGGGTATGCATGCAACTTTTAAATGCCCACATGCTGATGAAAACAAAAAACTGGCATCTTTTAATAAATGCTCACAAAGCATAACTATGCAAACTTTCTCCACCATTACATGTGTACTTCCCCTTGGAATATTAACCAGTTAACTGAAAGTTATACAAGGCAAGTCCAAATTTATGTTGCTTTTTTTGTTCGCTTTTGGTTACTAAACATTTAAATGAACATGCCATTACTGTAGTGCCAACAACATGAGAAGTACAATGTTAAAGTGAGGAAGGTTTAAAAAAAAAAAAAAAAAAAAGTAGTGTAGGGTGAGTAAAGCAAAAAAAAAAAGGCTGTGTATAAAAGTAAACTGGGGAGGAAGTAACATTGTATGCCATCTAATCCTGGAAGTAGTGTCAACACAATGCAGTGAGTGGGAGTGAGCTGCTAACTTGATGGATGGGTGGAGAGGTTGCTTAATATCCAGACCTCCTCAGGTACTCAGCCATTGCATGTGCTTTCTTGTTAAGATTTCCACCATGGACCGCCTCCTTTCCCATGACTAAAACCAATACTGGAGCACAAAAGGAAAAAAAGAGAAATGAACAAAATTGAAGAGCTCCCCCCCCCTTCCCCCTACAGGATGAAGGGAGGGAACAAAAGGTGACAGTATCTTACCACTCTTCATTGCTATTAAAAGTTTCCAAGACATTTGACTGCTTGCAGGAGAAATCTTAACAGCAATATTTCTTTTCTCTTCTTTTTGTCCCTCAATTTTATCTAAGTGAGCTTGAAAACATTAAAACCCTGAATCCCTCAAGTATTTTGCCATTGAGTAAGCCTTCTTATTCAATCCGCCTCCATGGACCCCTTCTTTGCCCATTACAAGAACCAAAACTGAAAGAGAAGAGATATAAAAGGGGACAGTTAAGAAAAGTTTAAAAAGCAATTCCAAGCAAGACAAGAGTATAAAAAGATGCATAACAGTGACTAATTAAGGTGCACCATATCTTCCATACAGTTGTGTGTTCAGATGGTAGCATCTCACTGCCACCTGTTGGTGCAAATCAAGTATTTGCAACTCTTCATTTGTGCTCTTGACTACCATTTGATAAGTACAACATGCAAAGGGGAACGTGAAAGGAATACAGTATTATTTTGATTGCAATCGGTATTTCCCACATTAAAATTTGGCAGCACACTCACTACATTTTATCCAAATACACTCTGAAGTGAAAATTGAGTAAGTGAGTCTTACAGGGCTTTGTTAGCTATGAACAACTGTGTAAACTAAAATGTCTTATGAATACAATGCTATTTTGTAGACAATTATCAAAACTCTTATCTGTCAAGACTATAAAAAATGATTAACCTGTGAGAAACACTGAAGCAATATAAAGCATTGAGGACCACAAAGACAAAAACTGCAGTGGCCAAACCTCTGGTTTACATGACATTTACTGTGAAAATCACATAATTAAGTAAATGTCATATTTTAAACTTCACAAGTCTACATCTATAAGATTTGAGTGTATCATGATGTTGTGACTCTTACTCTGCAATAAGGCTGCAACTACCAATTATCATTATCGATTAATCTCCTGAATCTTCAATTAATTGTTCTGTCTATATGTTAAATCGTGAAAGTGTCCTGCATAATTTCCCACAGCCAAAAGGTGACACCTTCAAATTATGTTTTGTCTGTGTAACAGTACAAAAATCCAAAGCTAACCATTTGACAAAGAAAACCCTCAAATTCTCTCATTTAAGAAGCTGGAATCAGTTTGGCCAGGAGAGATCATCTTATGTTACAAATGTAATAAAACAGATCCCTGCGGAACGGAAAAAACAATATGGTGGATTCATCTATGAACTTTTACCTTTTCCGGCTCTTCCCACAGAGACATTGTATGTAGGTTCTCCTCCTTGGCTCTTTGTCCTGATGTCCATTGTCCAGTCCCCGTCATCATGGAGGCTGTCTCTGAGGACTGAACACTTCTTTGAACCCAGAGTGAGACCGCTGGTGTAAAAGGTCTCCCTGTCCTTACCGATAAGGACATCAATTTCTTGAGACTAAAAAACAAAACCACAGGATTGGGGCAAAGTCAGTCAGATCCTCAGACCAGTGTAACCAATATGCTTCCAGTTACATGACTCGCACAACACCTGAGTATAATATTAATAAGTATATAAATTAACCTTTGTCCACAAGCAAGGCCACAAATTCTCCCAAAAAGTCAAAGGGTACTGCTTCATTAATGTATAAAATAAAATGTCTTTATAGTAGCTACACTATAATAGGTATATGCAGCCATGATGGGGGGAAAACACCTGTAAATTGTGTACCTTAAGGAAGCAAGGCACCTTGACTTTTTGGAGAATTATTTTTCCTTTTTTGGACATTGCCTCCCCATGCATCAGGAGCGTTACATTTGGTTTAGAAAAATCTATTTATATTGTTTTTTGAGTTAGAGATAAAATCAACTGACAGAAAAATTTACCAGCAACAATTTAGTTTTACAATAATTTCAGTCATTCATCAAGCAATAATTCCAACCATTTGCTTCATTCTATGAAAGGTGATAGAATGAGAAATGAATCTGTAGATTAATTGATACTGAAGTATTACTAAAGCTGCTGTGCTGGCACCAGTACAAAATATACAATTAATATAATGAATATGAAGAAAGAGGATGTTTGTTAGTACGAGCTGGAAACCTGCAAATCTACTATATTCCAGTGCCATAATAATTTCTGGACACATCCCATCACTTGCCTGCAGTGAGAAGCGGAAGTAAAGTGACGTCTATGCACCGGACTAGCTCTCATGTCACATCCCTCTCAATGAATTAAAAAAAAAAAAAAAAAAAACACATTGTCATTCTCATAAAAAATAAATACACATGTATTAATATGCAGGTACATTACTCCCGTTGATAAAAATTAATCTTCATGCAGGCTGACTAAGCGCCCGCCAGTTAGCCCTTTTTTAACCATAGTTAGCCGGTAAAGCAGCAGCTTAACGTGAGCTAATCAAAGCGGCCGTGCACACAAAAGCATGCACGTTTTCTTAAAAACCAGACACCGTCTAGTCGCTGGTTTAAAATTAGCGTTTGGTTGAATTAGCGGTGCCTTGACATTATGATTTAGTGGTTGTTCATGGCGACTAAATGCTTCATGTAACGTACATGCGAGCCAGTGAGTGAAGTCTTATCTGATCCACACGAGGTCTAATCCCACAACGTTTTGCTAAACAGGAAATAGCCGACACAGGCCACCGATGGACTAGCTAGCCCAGTTAAGCTAGCCCAGTACCGTTAGCTTGCTAGTCATTTAGACTCTGAGGTAACGGTTTTAGCGCTATTCAGTCTGGTGAGCGTCTGCGTGGGCGACACATAACAACACAGTCAAACGGAACCACTCCTCCACTCTAAATACTTCATTTAGACTTCTTACCGTGATATTGTTGAATGTACCACCGGCATGTGCTGCCCAAACATATTTGGCGTCCGTATACCCAACAATGGCGCTATCCTGACAGCTGCCATCGGCCATCAGGTTTTCCACGTAGCTTTGCCAAGACATGTTCAAGAAATTGATGCTATATAAAAAAAAATCCCTACAGCTTTGGAAGTGAGGTTGCCAAACAAGAGACAGCCAAATCGGAAGGGAAAACCTACAGACGAATTTAGAGGCTCCAATCTAACCCACACTTCGACGTTAACCAACGTCAAGGCTGGGGCAGCAAAGAAAGCCAGGGCAGTGAGGCAGCGGCTGGGTGTAGTCCGTATCAGATCACTCCGCACAATGAGCTCCCCGGTGCTTTTATGGCAGCGGGCGGCGGAATAAAGAGGGACTTATAAGCTCAGCCAAGAGTCAACTGTCTGAGGGAATGCCGGGGTACGCACAATGGCAGATGGGGATTTAGTGATTGAATCGTTTAGTCATTCATTCTTTCATTCATTGAATGCATTTTCACGTTGCAGGACGAATGACAAATACTGCCATATCAGACAGTTCAGTTTGTGTGGCCAAGGATTGCAATGGCCCTCAATGCATTTAGGAAACAACATGACCTTCGGTCCAGGTGGCTGATGGATTCCAAATCTTAGTATGCTAAGTGCTGAGTGGTATGCTACTCAGATAAACTGTCACTAAAAAATGGATCTACACTCACCCTATTAGCTTTTAAGTATTTAACTTAATACCTAATTGTATGAGGTCTAATTGACTCAAATATAAGTAGTGACACCATGTAGCATAACTTTCAGTAACAAGCAGAAGGAAGACACCGATCAGCCATAACATTATGACCACTGACAGGTGAAGTGAATAACATCAATGGCACCTGTCAGTGGGTGGGATAAATTAGGCAGCAAGTGAGCATTTTGTCCACATAGTTCATATGTTAGAAGCAGGAAAAATTAACAAGCATAATGATTTGAGCCACTTCGAAAAGGGCCAAATTGTGATGGCTAGATGACTGGGTCAGAGCATCTCCAGAACAGTAACTGTGGAGTGTTTCCAGTCTGCAGTGGTCAGTACCTATCAAAAGTGGTCCCAAGGATGGAAAAGCTGTGAACTGGCAACAGGGTCATGGGAGGCCAAGGCTCACTGATGCACTCGGGGAACAATGGTTGGCCTTTGTGATCCGATCCAACTGATGAGCGTAGGTCAGTTGCTGAAAAAGTTGATGCTGGTTCTGATAGAAAGGTGTCAGAACACACAGTGCTTCACAGTTTGTTGCATATGGGGCTGTGTAGCCGCAGACCACTCAGGTTGCCCATGCTGACCCCTGTCCACTGCCAAAAGTGCATATGAGCATCACAACTGGACTACAGAGCAATGGAAGAAGGTGGCCCAGTCTGATGAATCACATTTTCTTTTACATCATGTGGATGACCGGGTACGGGTACGGGTGCGTCTCTTACCCAAACGTGCATCTGTGGAATGTGCTGGACAGACAAGCCCGATCCATGGTGATTTTCGTGCCATATACAGCACACCTTTAGAGGTCTAGTGGAGTCCATGCCTTGATGGCTCAGGGCTGTTTTGGTGGCAAAAGGGAGACCTACACAATATTAGGCAGAGGGTCATAATGTTATGCCCAATCTGTGTATATTTGTGCATGCATAGTCATATAACATACAGAACATGAAAAAATATCTTATTTGGTGTAATAGCAAACTTTTATGCTCATTTATCTTCATTCATCTTTTTGTGCAATGCCAGTTTGTGGCAAAGAGCTACCACTTAATACTTTTTAGATATTGGATTTTAATAAGAAAGCATAATAGAATATAAAAGAAAAATTATTTTTTAAGGGGAAAAGGTTACCTTTGCAATCAGTATTATGATTATTCTTACACAAACAGCATTTAACTCTGTTGGGCTCCAACCACAAATTCATCTCATGCTACGGTGGAGTTTGTTTTGGAGAAGTTTGGTGCTCTGCTCAAGAGCAATCTCTCAGCCTTCTTCATCTTGTCAACACCAGAGATCCAACCAGCCACTGTGGCCAGTTATTAATGCCAGACTTTCATGACCTCAGCCACATGCAAGAGATGCTGCTGGGGTCCCTCCTATTATTTAAAAAGACAAAGGGTTGTATCACGTTTTCCATTCGGGTCAGATTAAGTAATAAAAACAAATGGTAATTTTACTGTAATCCCTGACCAAAGAGATTCTGCCATTAGTGTAGATCTGTCTTTGTGTTTAGAGTAAAAAAAAAATCATTATTTTAGTAGAGTTGATGAGTGATTACGATTGTAAGTTGCTTTAAACTTCATATTTATTTGAATAAATTCTGTGTACTTTGTGTGTAGTGGCTCAATAATACTAGAAGCTGCCCTACCCGCTGGTTTTGTGCGGTTAAATATATGTTAAATGTGTATAGTATATTGTTTAATTGTCCACCGTTTCAGCCATATGACTTACACTGATTTAATGATTTGAAGCGCCGCAGAATGAAGAAGTCGCTGGTAAGCAATGTAATTTGCTTAGATCATTGACATTCAGGTCTATTCACAGCCAGCCTATAAATTATATATATTATATACCATGAGTTGATGTATCCATGTGTAAAATGCATGGTGTTTTTTCTAATAAGCGTACAGTATGGTACATTTTGACCATGTTGTTGGTTCAGTGATCATCAATGACAGACTAGTACACTATGAATTTGCTATTAATATGCTGACAAATAACTGACATAAAACAATAGCTCTAAAGGTGGAATTCTAATCCAATACATGTTTTTTTGTAAATTCAGCAAACGTCTCCTCATGATCTGCTCATTGTCTGTTCTATGTGTGACTGTCTCGTCCTCTCTGTATGTTAGCTTTGCAGCATCAACAAGCAAAAGTTTGATAACTCACAACTTAGCTAAAATTTACTTGCTGTGTCCTTGTTTGTTCTATATCATAGTATTTGTCATCAGATTGGACCTCCAGAATCACATTCTGACATGAAAAAATGTCTTAAAAACAGGTTTTTGGATTGGTCTGAATCAGGCACTGCCAAGATGGTGACGCCGGAGCCACCAGGAGCCTCCCATTTTGAGCTTCACAATGGCTCTTCAGAAACATATGGGTGATATCACAGACACTACGTTCATGTTTTATACATGATTTGCCCTTTGATCATTTTCAGAGATATTTTTTAAATGCCTGTTTAAAATAAAATCAGAAAACTGCAAATGGCATTCTGGTTGACTGATTGATTGATTGATTGATATAACATTTAGAAATGTATGCACATCTACTTGTCTACTTGCTAAAGCTTGTCTCATTGTAAGGCCTACATATTTTTTTGCTTTAGACTTTGTTAGATAACAAAAAGCCCGTACAGAGTTTGCTTTCACCTCACCAAATGATGCAGATATAACAGTACTATGACTTACTCATGCATGATACATAGCCTACTATTCCTTTAACCATAGCTCGGTAAATCAACCTCTAGTCAATTCCATCAGAATATGCCACTGTTCAGCTTCGTCAGTTCGTGAAGAATACATACAGTATAAGTGTGGTGATCACAGGAGTCACTGCATGCTCTGTCACAAGCATCCTTTACACTCTATTAGACAAGTTGTAGGCATATTTAATAATGGATACCTTTAAAAATGTGCGTATCAGAATGTAGACTACAACATCCGAGCTCAAAGACCCCTAGCTAAATAAAGCTATGGGATTGTTGCTACCGTTTCAGTAGTGATTTTCTCAAGATCTTTTCCATGACTATGAAAGTGCACACAATAAATGTTTTAACAAAGCGCACAGGACTATAGGATCCTGATGATGATTTTTTTTATGAGGCTATTGTACAACCACTATGTGAAATGCTCCTGTGGGAGTAATCTGATAATATCATCTGGCATACAGTAACACTGCAGCATAATGCAGAGAAAGAGAGAGAGAGAGAGAGAGAGAGAGAATTGATGCCTTCAAGTGCCCTCCAATAAACACAGAAATAAGAGAACAGATTAAAGCAGGTATTCTGACAGCTGGTGTGTTATAACATATAATATATAACATAATAACAATAATAATAATAACACAAATCAATAATAAAATAATAAAGCAATGCTGGGTTTTTCTGAGCGGTAGTCCAAGGAAAATGTGCAGCAGTCATTAATGAGATCAGTTATTGATGTTTATTTTAAAAACATGCATAGTAATACTATGCATGTTTTTAAAATAAACATCAATAACTGATTGAGTTACTATTAGTAACTCAACGTCAAATGACAAGGGAAACTTCTCAGTGACATCAGTTATTCACACAGGCTGCACATACTTGATAATAATATATACCATTAATGTTTCCATTAGTTTCCATGACTAGCATCTGGTTTATGCTATTTAATTGAAATTTTGTTCAGGAATATGACCAATTAAGGATCAAATGAACTGATTTGATAAGGGCCTTGAGGTGAGTTCTGGTATGTTACCTGATTTTAGGGCCCTGTCTTGAAGAGGGTCACTGAATAAAATTAAAATTATCAGTTTTGTGCTTTTGTATTGCATATTCTTAAATGAATGTTTTTAATCAAATCTCCACACAGCAGATCAGGGTTCAAGTAGTATTCCAACTTAGAAAGACTGTTGTGGGAGGAACGTTGAGGAAATATCGGCCTAGCAGTTAGGGCTGCAACAAACAATTGTTTCCATCACCAACACACCTGTTGACTGTGTTTTTGATCAATCAATTTATCATTTAAACTAAGGCGTCAGTCAGAATATTGTCAGATAATGTATTTCACGATTTTTCTTCAGTTAACTTATTTTGTTCAACCTACAGCACAAAACCAAAAGATATTGCATTGACAATGAAAGGATCATCTGAGTAAAATGGCAAATACTCACATTGGAGAAGCTGGGATCAGAGAATCTTTGGCATTTCTGCTTGAAAATTTACTTAAATGATGAATCATTTATCAGAATTGTTGGTGATGAATTGTTAGACGTGGTGGTGTCAACGGATTGACGACCGCTTCACTTTCCCAATAGGATTCTGATTCAATTACAGATTTTTCCGACGGTGTTGTGAAGGCAGCATGCGGTGGGGATTCTCAAACGCCTCCTACGTAAACATCCTTGCGCACACCAGCTACCCACGATGCAGCGCGGCTGCATACAACATAGCCATCTTGTCAAGAGTGACTGAGTGAGGGAGGTAACTGTAGGCGCTGTCGTTTGTTTAAAGCGTGAAATGTAAGAGCGTTTTCTTCCCTCGACAGTAAAGAAAGTGTCGCCACCGAATGAATCTAAGCTGGTGACGGGAGCGCGCACAAAGGACTGCTTTCGGGAAGATGTCTCACATACTTGTTCCGACGTAGGGGGAGTGTGCAGCAGCCAGTTGGCTTGACTTGCTAGCTAGCTCAGTGAGTGGAGGGCTGCAGGCCCTCCTCAGCCTAAAGTAGCTCCTACAGCTGGGCAACACACTCTGCGACAACGGCCGTTTGACAACTGCAGAACCGGGACATTAGCAGGCCGGTCCGGACTGACCGAAAGCTGTGGATCAATCATCTGACAGGCTGAAAGCTGCATAGCTGGACAAGACGAGACGAAGTGTGGCGTTGCGTTATGCGCTCATGAACCGCAACAGGAGACCAAGAGAGGAAGAGGGATGGCGGAGATTCATCTCGAGTACATTTAAGTGTGACGCTGAGTAAAATAGATGTGTGGTGTTTAATTATGATCTGAGCTTTTAGAAGTTACAATCAGCTCGTCCCTTTCTGACGGAGGATAAACATAGCCATACGGGACTCAGAATCAGGCTTTCAATATGTCGAGAATGCCGGCCAAGAAAAAGAGCTGTTTTCAGATCACAAGTGTGACTCAGGCCCAGGTGGCGGCTATAGGTGCCGCCGACGACACGGAGAGTCTGGACGACCCAGATGAGTCACGGACTGAAGATGTGTCGTCTGAAATAGGCCTGTACGACATGTCACGGGGTGAGTACGAGCCTGCGTGCGACGGAAGTTCATCCGAAGAAGCGCTGAATAATGTTGGAGAGCCGGAGGCAGTCAGTGTTATGGCACCATCACACATACCTCAGCCCAGTCAGTTGTCTGCGCTGTCAAGCAATCCTATTGTGGAGTTTCGAAAATTTGGAGTGTCAGGCTCCATTCAAGGGGGTCAGCAGCCGCCGGGGATTGGCGTTGCACCTGGTTTACCCCTCATCACTCAGTCGGGGGGAATGCTGCAACAGGCTGCTCCAGCAGCCAGCGCTGGCCAAGCCAGTGTGTCAGTAAACACATCCCAACCCCCTGCAGTGACCAGTTCAGCTCCTGCCACCTCCACGGTGAGTTGCACTTCACGGTTCAGGGTCATTAAACTTGATCATGGTACTGGAGAACCCTTTCGAAGAGGCAGGTGGACGTGTACAGAGTTTTATGAGAAAGACTCTGAGAGCTCTGCTGTTAGTAGGACTGTAGATAGCATTAGGCACGCCAGTGCAGCACTGGACCCTGCTGCCGACAGAGACAGTGGGCTGGGGCACACAGGAGGATCTGTGGTCGCGCCAGCAACACAGTCTGGTCAGGGCCTGGGCTCCATGGCAGATACTTCTCTTTCTGCATCCCGCATGCATTCAGTGGAGACAATACCGCAGCAGCAACAACTTCACCTTCAGAACTACAGTGCCTGGCAACAGGGTGTTAGTGAGTCGTCCGCGCAGAGTGCTTTCTCCAACAGCAAACCTGCAGCTGTCCCAGCTCAGCCAGCAGTGGGAGGTCTCCAGCCCTCTGCTCCCCAGAGCACGTTGCCTGTCGGACAAAATGGCCTGCCTCAATCTGGTGTCCACACACAGAAGTCCCCCATCATGCCTCCTTCAGCCCAGCCCATTGCTTACCCTCCCCAGCATCAGCAGCAGCAGCTTCCTATGGGCCACCACCTAACCAGCCAGTCTCCTGGACTGCTACAGAACCAGACGGAATACTATCAGCAGCACCAGCCCATTTCCATGCAGCCAGGACTTTCCACAGGCCAGTCCCTCCCAGTGTCTGGCCTTTCTGCGGGTCCACAGCCTGTGGGACAAGGACTCGTTTCGGTCTTTCCTCAAGCCTCTGGAGGGGCTTCTGTGCCAAGTCAAGTTGGAGACGTTGCAGCAGCAGGAGGTGGATCTGTACCTACCGGACAGCCAGCCCCGGGCCTCTTGCAGCAGCACACAGGAGGAATGGGAGGTGGCGGAGGCTCCACACTGGTTGGTGGATCCATTTTGCAACAGCAGACTGTGAGTCAGTATGCAGCCGCTGGACAGCCTCAACCCCACGGCCTCCACACTACATCCTCCAGTGTACAAAATGTGCCTGCCATCGCAGTGAGCTCCAGTGTGCCCACCACTGTGCCCACTGCTGTGCCCAGTGCCTCCAGTGCGGCCATGCCAAACGTGACAACCTCCAGTTTGCCTCAGGTTCAGGTACCCCACAGCAAGACTCCAGTGGCTTTTGGGGTGCAGGGCCTCCCAGCAACTGGATATGGACATATGGAGGGTGAAGATGGAGGGAAATCAGAGGGTCTCGTCAACGCACAGTCTCCTGTTGTGTCTGGGAAGGAACCGGCGAAACCCTTCATGCCTGAGAGCCTGCAGCTCACCACTCCAACTGTCAGTCTATTTGGAATCCACATACCGTTCGACGGAGATGTGGACAGGTAACAGTTTCTAGATCCTAAAATTCTCATCATCACCATGCCTGTGCAACATTATCCATAATGCACACAGTTGCATACAGGCCTAACTGTGTGTAAACCAGTGTACATTGGGGATAAGCTTGTTATAGAGGGTATGTTTGGCAATTTGCTGTGATCACAAGAGGCCATAGCAAAGCCAATGTGTGTTTTAGAGTTGGTCATTTAGGTTGTCAGATGAACAAATGGGGTTTTCCCCATAGTTTCAGGGAGGTTTGGAGGGAGGGGAGCATGTAGAAGGATGAGAGAAGTGGCATGCAGGAAGGAAATTTAATGTTTGTTGTTTTTCATTAGGGCCTAAAGAAGTAAGTTGAGTGTAGCACACTTGAGAACAGCCATGGCTTCCACTGCATAGGCAACAACTTATTAAACACACACATGACTCCTGTAATACTGTTTCCTTGTGTACAAGGGTGTGTATTTGTGTTATGTGTCCTTTCCCTCCCACTTAAGCTATCACCCTCTTGGACAGTGCCAGAGGTGATGGCCTTGGCTGCAAACATCAAATATGTGTTGTAGTTGCTACTGTGTATAGAGTTAGCCCAGCTTTCTATTAGCTACTCTGTTAATGTGCTGCATGCCTGACCTTTTAATAAGTTTGTTCCTGTTCCGGAACAGACTTTCTAGTGCAAATATGAGTGTTTGATTTTGTGTTGCCACATTTATGATATCATGGTTTCCACTCAGAGCCCCATTAGGCTCCCCTCAGGAATGTGTTTACAGATGATTTTAGAGTATTGGCCCGAAATAACAAGTTATACTTCAGATATTATGTTGCAGAGTGGTCCTTCAGGTTGCACAGGCTCAGTGTGTAAAGCCACTTAACAATTTAGGTTTGGTTGGTCTGATGGTACAGAAAAGAAAATCAAAATGGTGACTGATAAAACATAACTCAAAACCAGAGGTTTCCCACCCACTTGAAGAAAAATGTAGTGCCAGTGTTCTGCAGTCTGCATACCCTGTCTGGTATATCTGATATATCTGTAAGACAGTAAATGGAATACCGCTAAGAGATTTCAGTTACTGTATCATATCCGCTTCTTCGTGCCATCTACTACAAGTGAAACTAAGCGCAAAAAGGATACTTTTGGAAAGGAAGTAAATGAACTATAATAACTCGTGAAAAAGAAGAATGCTTTATGAGTCACATGGACACAAATGCTATATTTTGCCATTTGCAGATGAAAAGAAACCACAATCTGATATACTAAATTAAAAGATTAATCCAACATTTCAATTCTTATACATCTACAACGATGGCTGCTTTGGTTGTATTTATCTGTATGAATTATTAAATTGACATACACCTTCAGAGGATATCATTATCTCCAATGTTCACTGTGAAAAAACTTCATAAATCCACTTAATTAACAGAGAAAAATAGCTGATCTTTATAATGTCTTAACTTGCCTGATAATCATCACGTTTTTTATGTTTTTTTTTTTAGTGTATTGCAGTGATAGTTGTCTGTACATCTACATTGCAAACAGAAACTGCTAATAGCTAATTCTGCATGCTTTCAATGGAGCCAGTTTGCCAAAATCTAAACAAATACAAGCTATAAAAATAGGGCTCAAGCTGTAGCCCACATCCATGGTGACATTTAGACATCAAAGTGTCAGGCTTTGAAAACTTAAGTGTCAAAGTTGCTTCTGACACTGTCATTGATAGAATTATTATTATTTTTTTTTTTTACAGTCATTGCCACTTGGTCCTGTATTGATCATGTTGGTCAGCAGGTCAAATCAATGGGCCAAAAACAATTAAAAATCTTGTTTGTTTTTTAGAACACGGGCCATCACCTGTCCCTTTCACATTATGCGATATCTTTGCCCGCCCTCCCACCCCAAAACACAGTTTGGAAACCTCTGGTTTAGACTATGGAATACTTGTTCTTCAAGCAGTATTTACAAAAATGAACTATTCAAGCACATGGTTCAGACAATTTAAATTTATATATTCATATGCTCTTCGCATGACCTCTTAGTTACTTTGTAATAACAGGCCAAATTAGTTTAGATGTACATATATGCCATTTGTGCCATTAAAAACAGGTATGTGACAATGCAACTGACTTTTGAAGTACCTAAGTACTGTTTGTGAGAGGAACCAGCTCCCAGGCTGATAAGAGCAGAAGTCTTTTACGACAGTCAGACCCTATCAGACATTGAGCAGTAGTCTTTCCACTGTGCCTATTCTTCCGATAAGAGACCTGACAGTGGGGTGTGTCGACCAACTGTGCTTGTTGTCACGTCATGGCCCCTTTTCTTTTGCAACAACGTGGGTGAACTTTAACACACACCCCAGTGTGTTGTAGGCATGCACCCCCCCACACCCCTGCAAGAGCTGTGGGCATGCTGGACAAGTCACTGTGAGGCCTAGCTGACTGGTGTGGCTGCTGCTGCTTCATAGTTTGTCCACTGGTGCAGCATCAGTGCGGCCTGTACTTTTTACCTACTACCCCACTGACTGACAGACAAGACGAGACAGTTGTTTATGTACTGATGAGGTGCTGAATGACATTCCTTTTGCAGCAGCAACTGTGGTATGCTCAAAAGAAGTGGAAGAAGCTGCTGAGTGAAACTTGTGCCTCACTTCAGCTGGCATTTAAGTTATGCTCCATACACCCCCACCTCTCCCCCAGCGTTTTTTTGTCTCTTGCTTAATTTCTACATTTCTGCTCTAGTGTTTATTTTGATTCTGACTACTCCACGCACCAAAACCACTTTTCTCTTTTCTCCAAAAATGCATTCCTTCAGTAGTTAATATCTATAATCTGTACAACACAGAAAAATATTATGTGCATGCATCCCACACATGCACACAGCTTTGACTGCATGTTAGGGAAGTTTGTAGCCTTTACACAGCTCGCACAACCTGGAAGACCTCTCTTGGTCATTTGGTATTGTTTGTCCCTATCTTCCTCCACCCTGTGGTTTCCCCTGCAGGTAATTAAAGTAAAACAGTGGAGATGGAGACCAGAGATTGAAGATGTGGTTCTCATATGATTCGCTCAGCTTAATGTTTCCCAGATGGTTTCCACATCTGAAGGCGTAAAATAACACTGGTTGATTGTCACAATATCTTTGTTGCACCCACAGAGGAGTTGTTTCTATTTTGTGGGATCATTTGCATAGATGTAAATTACATCTGCAGTCTGTGTGTAATTGAACTCATGCTGTGTGGAGGTATGGTTTATTGTCCTCCCAGAATGGGAGCTTATGTAAAATCGTACTCCTTAGGAGGTAGGAGAGGAGAGGGGGGAGGGGTCCTGGCCTGCGAAGTAGTGGAGCAGTTACTGCCACTGTGAATTGAGGGACTGTGTCTGTGTGGGTGCATGAGGGGTGTGTCTTTAAAAAGGGGATGGGTTGACTCTGTGTGCACACAATTATCCATGATGGGGGTAGGGGCCACTCACTGAGGAACTGAGACATTACGTTTGGAAAAATTCACCATAGATGTTATCATATTAATTTTTAGTCATGGTGTATGTGTGGGTGTATGTGTGAGAGAGTGACACAGAGAGACAGCATGTACCAAAGACTTCCCCTCCCCTCTGTGACCCTTTGCTTTACTGCTGTATCCTGTTTTTAGTCAGAGTCCCTGACACTGCTCTCCACCTTCTGTTCATTTAATATTCCTTAGCTCTCTCCCCGCTTCCGCACTGGGGCTCTCTGGTCATATCATATGACATTTGGTGGGCACATTTTATCCAGAGTGCCTCACGGAGCACTTTCTTTTTTTTTTTTTTTTTTTTTTTGTTAACATCTTTGGCCTGAATAGTAATGAACCACTGATGCTGTAATACTTTGCTTTTTGAGCTGGGTATATTCAACAATCGTGTAATAATGAAGTTTCTGCTCCTGCCATGAACTCTTCAACCCACTGACTGTGTATGGTATGTGTTTCTGTGTACACTAGTCAGGTTGTTCATCTTCTGTGACCCACGGCCTCCTCCCAGCTGTAGCGCTATTTTCAAAAAGAAAGATACAGCATATTTTTGTAGTCTGACCTGCGTTACTAGTCTGTATGTCTGCAGGCTTTGCTTCAGTCATCACCCCCACCCCAGGTCTGGAGGCCCTCCATTGTTCTGAAAAGCAGAAGAGCGTCACCAAAGTCCAAGGTTTTACTGGCTTGTTTAACTGGGGATGTGCTGTATCGTGTTGAAGATAAGCGTGGCTGAGAATTTGCTCTGGAATCTTCGTTTTGGAAAGCCTATACTAAAGTGACTTGAAGGGTTAGATAGACTCACTTTTCAGCTGTGATATAGCTTTTGTTTTGTACTTGTATCTCTTCACCAGATGGCCAGAAACTAATAATTATTTTTCATGACATGTTGTAGTATTTATTTAAATTAGTGTCTTCAAATTTCTTCTTTGATCGGTCAGTTAACTAGGGCTGGGCAATTGGCGATTTTAGATCAAGATTGTGATCTATGGAGCTGTCACTGCTTCTGTTGGTTATTTTCACGAAATCATCTACATATCATGGGCAAATTGTTCATTTAGCATGTAGCACGTATAACTTTGGTATTTTTCAACCTAGACCCTACCCCTCTTGTGTCTTTGACTAATTGGGTCCCATTTAACTTTTTTTTAATTTGAGTGCATTGCAGTCTGCAGCAGCACAACAGGGCTTCAACGTAATCCTTGCAGGCAATTGTGCCTTATCAAAGTACACCCACTAAAGTGCTTGTTTTTGCTACGGACAGGCTCAGATTGTTATCAAGTGTCTCACGACATTGTGGAAAGGATCTCTACAGAGACAGACATTTAAAAAAAAAGAATAAGATACTTTTTTTTTAACAGAAACCATTGCCATATCGCTCTCTTCAAAGCTTCCAGACTCCATAGATTAAAAAGAGTTGCTGGTCTACCGCTGCCTCAGTGCACCCCACACACTTTGGTGTTTGGTGCTTTAAATGGTAAATAGAGTCATACAGTAACCTAGAGTGGTAAAATTAC